ATTTGAAGAGTTGCATCATTCTGTACGAAGCTTTTTAAATTAATAACTTGAGGAAGGAACATTGCCATTTTTCCATTTCAGATCGCCTTTGTTTTGCCATTCTCTACAGCAGACCAAAGAGTGCATCCAATGAACATTATTTCAGCGTAGATAATGAACTTGAATATGAGAAGTAAGTATTTCTTTTTAAAGATTGTTAGTAACTGTAAAGGTATGTTTACAAAGAGGGTAGCTTTGGAGAATTATAAATCTGTTGTTGGTTGCTTGCTTATTGAAGGAATTAAAAAAAAAATCTGTGGTTAATGATTGTGGAGATGAGGTCAAAATGAACTAACTTTCCTGCTCCCTTTTGTTGTTTCTTGGGAGAGGTTGGGGGGGGGGTTTGAACTCAGGGCCTTTTGCATGCTAGTCCAGTGCTCCATGCTAATCCCCTGAGCTATATCCCTAGCCCTTCTTAAATTGTATTCTGAGACCAACGTGTTGCTAGGTTGTCTGCACTGGCCTCAGACTTGGGATCCTTCTGCCCTGGATTCTGAAGTCGGTGTGCGCCCCACAGAGAACTTCACTGCATTTAAAAGTTCAAATTTCATATTTAATGGTCTATGCTGCAGTATGCTGTAAATGTGGACTAAGTAAGGTAGAGGTTTTGCCAGTGGAAAATATGTGCGGAAGATCAGAGTTCTGAATTTGAAAAGGTATTTGCATGTTAGTTGAAGTTAGATTTGGGATGTAGTGCTTGTTGTGTTTTGGTTTTGTTTTCCATTGGTGCTGGGGATTGAATGCAGGGCCCCAGACTGCTATGGGGGAGCCCACCACTGAGCCTGCAGCTTGCTTGGTGCTTCTGTAAATAAAGATGTTACCAGAACATTTTTTCCACTACTAAGACGGTACCTGTGCATTCTGTGACCCATAGCAGTTTGGTTTGGTGAATGCTTTCTTGTTTATTTGATCTTGTAGACTCAGAAAAGGCACATACATACATATTTTTGTTTTTCAATTTTAAAGCTTCTACGCAGATTTTGGACCACTGAATTTGGCAATGGTTTACAGATACTGTTGCAAGATAAATAAGAAACTAAAGGTAAAGTCTTTTTTCCTTAAGATTTGACTTTAGTAATTATTGTTAGCTTAATCTTGGGGTGAAAAATTAGGAAGACCTTTCTCTTTTTTCAAAAGGTTATTTTAAAATTCTTTTAACAAAATTTCTTTCTGAAGTGCCTTTTTTAGGATACCTTGAAAACACAGGGGATGTATGTTTGTTTTTACTGCCTTGGTGTTTAGGACGTGCACATCTGTATGTGTGTGCGTGCGTGTGTGTGTGTGTGTGTGTGTGTGTGTGTGTATTATAGAGTAGTGCGTGCATTTGTTTCCTAGAGCTTTGATTGAATATGTGAGTTCCTGTCGATGTGGTTGTGCTGGTGATGCTCACATACCTGAAATGACAAAGTGGGGGGCTGGCGAGATAGCTCAGTGGTCTGAGGCGCCTGCTCAGGCAAGCTTAGGCAAAGCATAGGGACCGCGGTTGGATTGCGGGCACCACATGCCTCGCTAGCCCCACACATAGGGCAGGCTGAGCTGGCCAAAAATAAATAAATTAATTTAAAAAAAAAAGGAATTTATTGGGGCTGGGGAGATAACTCAGTAGAATAAGGGCTTGCCTGGCAAGTGCAAGGGTCTGAGTTCAATCCCCAGTTCCACCAAAAAAAGAAAGAAAAGACAAAGTGGGAATTGGTTGGTTCAATAACATCTTATTGTCTGACTGAATGGAGCTATAACTGAAGGAGAGAAGTTTCCCTTGCTGTGATCCTCACTCTTCTGGGGACTGTACCTTGGATCCTTTTTTTTTTTTAAATTTTTATTTATTTGTGTGTGTGTGTGTGTGTGTGTGTGTGTGGCCAGCTCGGCCCACCTGGGGGCGGGGCTGGCTGGCATGCGGTGCTGGGGGATTGAACCGCGGTCCCTGTGCTTTGCTAAGCTTGTTCTAAGTAGGTGCTTTAGACCACTGAGCCATCTCACCAGCCCCTGTACCTTGGATCCTTGATAGAGATGATTAGGGCGCAAGAGAAACGCAAGAGCAGCCTTTCCCTAAAGGCTGTTACCACTGGAAGTTTAAAAGATAAGTCTGTTTTTGTTAGTTTGAATTCAGACCCCGTTATCTTCATTTAAAAAGTGTTGCATTACCCGGTCAGGCATAGCTGCTTGCTAGCAGCTCCAGATTAGTCATTATAAATTGTTGAGTAGGAAATACTGTATTTGGGAACAGGCACTTTTAAAAGCAAAATATATTCAGTGGATAACCTATCAGACAACTATGAAAGGAAATAAAATTTATTTTTATTTATAATTTTAATTTACCGTAATGAAAGCTTTTTGCATAAGGGAGATTTTTCCCCCCTTGCTCATATGCACTACAAATTCATACAAAGGTGGACACTGCCTTCTTCTGGGCACTTAGATAGGAATATAAAAACTCAGAGCATCAGAGACGGGTTTCCATCCCCTTTCCCACTTGTTAGTGGCAGTTTTGGTCTCTTGTTTCCGTCAGGGCTAGGAAGCTGAAAATAAATTCCTCTCTCTCAACTCTTTAATTTTGAAAGGACCCCACCCCCACCCTAGCGATCTGTGGACTTTGATTCTTTGGGTCAGCCAAAAATAGATTTTTTTTTTTTAAATAATTTACTAGAACAATTTGTATATGTTGCTCATCCAACCTGACTGAAGCCTTGCTGCCTTTTAGTGGGTAGGGATTGATAGAAAGTGGATCGCAAGTTTGAAGCAGGAGAGTTGAATTGGGTTTTTGTGCTCAGAGGGCTGCTTGGGTTCTATTCGTGTGTTTTGGTCAGCTCGAGTCTCTTAGCACATACATGTTGGTCTCCGGCTCCCGGGATGCAGGAGTGTGGGCTTACGGCAGCCACACAGCATGTGCTTACCGAGCTGAATGTATCCTGTTCCCGTCCTTACCCCAGTTATTTCTGCTCCTGTTCGGGAGGCACAGCTGGGCAGTGCTAACTGGTTGTGTGTTCCTTTTTTTTTTTTTTTTTTGGCAGAACCAGGGATTGAACTCAGGCCACTGTACTTGTACTTACCAGGCAAACACTTACTCTACTGAGCCATCTCCCTGGCCCATGTTCCTATGTTTTGAAGTTGCATATCCTTGTAAACTTCAGAGTGGTGTATAATTTGCAGACAGAACTATGTACCAGTCCGTGAGCATACAACTCAACGAGTTTCCACAGATGGAATGGGTACCTGTAGGTAGTTACCTCACTTAAGGAACAAATAGCAGTCCCCAGCCCCCACTTCCCTCTAGGTTGCCCCCCTCTGCCTGTCCCTCCCTTCTTACTCAGAATTGTGATTGCCTACAGCATTGATTAGTTTGCCCTTCCTCCCTCCCTTTCTCTGTCCCTCCCTCCTTCCTTTCTTCCTTATTTCCTTCCTTCCACAGTGCTAGGGATTAAACTCGGGGCCTTTCTGCTTAGCTACATCCTCTAGCTTCACTAAATTGCTAAATTCCCCAGGCTGGGTTTGAACTTTTTGCCCTGCCTTATCTTCCAAAGTGGTGGGATTGGGATTACAAAAATTCACCACCACACCTGCTTCCCCTTGCGTTTTAATGTCACGTTTTTGGACTAGACTACTTAAAAAGTAATCAGAAAAGAAAGCCTTCTCCCTTCTCGTGTCCAGCTTCTTCCGTCGTCTTTGAGAGGCAGAGGCAGTCTGTGCTTTTTTGCTGTTGTGTTGTGACTCCGAGACACTGACTTTTCCTTTCCCCATCCCTGGATTTAGATGATGAGATTATGAGGCCGAGCAGACACTGACTTTTCCTTTCCCCATCCCTGGATTTAGATGATGAGATTATGAGGCCGAGTCTGACAGCTCCTCAGGAGAACAGAGTTCTGTTAAACAACTGGCATTCTGTGGAGAACTGTAGACTCCCACTGGCACCTCTTAGAAATGACCTGAGCATCTGTCTTTTTTTTGGGGGGGGAATGATTTAAATGATTTTATTTATTTTTAAAAGTATCCTTGTGTTTGTTTTTGCGGTACCTGGGACTGAACTCAGGACCTTGCGCTTGCCAGGCAGGCACTTATACTGTTGAGCTATATCCCGGTACCTGGGACTGAACTCAGGACCTTGCGCTTGCCAGGCAGGCACTTATACTGTTGAGCTATATCCCCTGCCCTAGCATCTGTCTTTAAGCATGCATCTGTTCATGTCACATCCCTTTGGCCCTCTTGAGGTTTTTTTTTTTTTTTTTTTTTTTTCGGAACTGGGGCTTGAACTCAGGCCCTTGCACATGCCAGGGAAGCGCTTATTCCACTGAGCCATCTCCCTGGCCCCCCTCTTGAGTTTTATGTTCATTCTAACTTCAGAATAACTTTATAGGAAACGCTTTGGTATCTTGGGGCGTCAGCATTGCTGTTTTCAAAGCTCTTGTGAATGTGAATGCTTATTTGTTGCAAGATTTCTAATTCGTCTTTATCAGAGTAAAACTTTTTAAAGAACTTAAAAAACAATACTAACAACTGTGTATTTTTATGCAGTCCATTACAATGATGAGGAAGAAAATTATTCATTTTACTGGCTGTGATCAAAGAAAACAAGCTAATGCTGCTTTCCTTATTGGATGCTACATGGTAAGTACTTCCCTGGTACAAGTAGGTCACCTGTGTTCGCACGAGAACATCTAGCAAGGGTGTGCACAGACATGCGTAGCAGTGTTGCGAGAAATGGGCCGTGCACCATGCAGGGTAGAGCCCCCTGGTGCTCTGCTGAGGTTGCTGGAAGAAAGAACGCATTGGGACAGTGACTGTTCGCAGAAGACTGAAGAATTTGCTTTCTTTTTTTTCTTTCTAAATTTCATTTATTTGTTTATTAGTACAAGTTTGCCATATATAACGATCACATTCATCATAGGAAATTTGTGCCTGTAGATAATATATCTTAATCTTTGAGAATTTCATTTATTAGTAAGCTATATTGGAAGACCTTTGGTTTTTTATTTATTTGTTTGCTTATTCTGTGGGTGCTGAGGGTTGAACCCAGGGATTTGCATGTGCTGAACAATTCCTCTAACGCTTAAGTTTAGCCTGTTTCTGTAGAGTCAAATTTTATTTTGCATCAATGTGATCCTGCAGGCTCCCCTATAGGGAGCTTTTTACATAAACCAGCTATAGGTTTGGGTTTTTTTTTCTGTGTTTAGGACAGGGTCTACAGGGTCTCACTATGTAGATCAGACTCGCAGTGATTCTCCTGTTTTCAGCCTCCCACGTGCTGGGATTACAGGTGTGTGCCACCATGCCCAGTCTCAGTTGCTGTCTCAGGTGCCCTGGGGGCAAGGCTGGCACGGCAGGCCTGGGGATTGAACCCCCCGGCCACTGTGCTCTGCCTAAGCGGTGCTTTAGTCCGCTGAGCCTTTGGACCAGCCCTGCGGCTGCAGTTTTTCCTGAATTGACTTAGAGCTCAGGACTGGAGAGCGCAGGTCTGTGGGCTGACGAGGAGTCTTCTTTTCTCATCTTTTCTATCTAGTGTCTAGAATGTTTCTTACACTTCTAGCCCACCAGAGGTGTAATAGTTACTCACCTAGATTAAAATAATAATAATAATAATAATAATAATAATAAAAATAAAACATTGGATTTGGAGCTTTTTACATAAGTTTGTCCTTCCCTTCAACTTGCTACCTGTCTCAGTCATGCTGTCCCCACCTTCTAAAGTTATTTTCTTGTATACACTTTGATAATCTAGAATTTACAAAAATTAGACCAAAACCAAAACCCTTCTGAAGCTAATTTGAAATTGAACGTCAAATCGTTTCCATATACTTGTTTGTTTAGTTATTTTTGATACTGTGGTTTGAACTTGGCTTTTCCTCAAGCTATATCCTCAGGAAAAAAATTGAGAGGAAGGAAATATTACAAATGCTTTACCTTGTCCTGGGATTTTATTCATAAATTGACCTAATATGGGATGGTGGGGAGAGATGTGAGGTAATTCTTTGAAACACAGGAATAAAGCATTAATGATTCTAAATAATTGTTTATTTTTATCTTAACAGAGGGGTTAGGTGTCATAAGACCCTAAAACATGTACTGATAGATGTGCCCACTTTCTTTTTTTTTTTGTGGAACCAAGGATTGAACTCATGCTCTTGCGCTTGCCAGGCAAGCGCTTATTCTACTGAGCTATCTCCCTGGCCCTGTGCCCACTTTCTGTTAGTCCTTTTATCAGATAGTCAACCATGTCCCTGTGTCATCAGAAGTGACAAAAGAAACCTGGCTGTTCAAACTGCTGTCTCTGTGAGTCTGGGTGAATAGTTTTACCATGATAGCTATCTGGGTCCCAGAGTCTTTGATAAAAAAAAAATCAGAGTCCAGCTAACTGGGCGAAGGGTAAAGGGTTTAAAGATAAGGGAGTTTTTCCTTTACAAAAGGCTGTGTGCTCTGTTTTATGAAAGGATGCTCCTGTTAATGTGCTAATCAGTGACCTTCAGCCAGATTTGGGAGTGGTGCTACTTCACCATGTCATTTCAAAGTAAAGGTGAAGTTTTAAATAAAAATGGAAATGTTGGGGCAGGCTGGCTGGCTGGCTTGCTTTCTCTTTTGTCTTTTTTTGGGTACTGGAAATTGAACTCAGGGCCTTGTGCTTGCCAGGCAGGTGCTTATGCTGTGGAGCCATATCCCTGGTCGTAAATAAATGCTTTTCAAAACAAATTCGTGATTAAAAGACCATTTTTTTTAATTTATTTATTTTATTTATTTATATTGTGTGTGTGTGGCCAGCTCAGCCCACCAGGGGGCGGGGCTGGCTGGCATGTGGTGCTGGGGGATTGATCCGTGGTCCCTGTGCTTTGCTAAGCTTGTTCTAAGTAGGTGCTTTAGACCACTGAGCCATCTCACCAGTCCCTAAAAGACCATTTTTAAAATAAAAATTTGAGAATTTGTTTTTCATCTTATAAAAAAAAGTCATGCACGAAACTTATATTCATGCACCCTGAAAAGAATTTTTTATTTTTTTCAAAATTTTATTGATAAACAGATAGTAATGAGACAGTTTCAAATCAAATTGGTAGTACAGTTTCAATAACTAACACTCTGCATATATTCTTCTTAGTGGTAAATTGCTGTACAAGATGCGGACTTGAGATCCTATTTACAAACACCATTAGAACAATGCTATTATGGGCTACTGGACTCTTTTAGAATATTTTGCTGAGTTTACATACCTATAATATTCAAATAACGGAACTTAGGAAAAAAGGGGTATACAGATGAATGTCCATTTTGTATCTGTGTATTCAAAGTGGTTAGGATAGATATATAGTTTAACTGGCAATGTCAGAAATTATTGATCTGAGTCTCCCACAGCTCAACATAACAGCATGACTTTACTTCCTATATTTCGTCTTCATACTTTTCTGCTGGATGGTTAAGACCAAGGTAAAGCAGGACCTATGCAACAAGAGTTGTAGCTTTTGGGTCTGAGAAGGTCAGTGAAATGCCCCCAGGATTTATCCTGAGATCCTGTACCTCAGATTGTAGAACCTTTGTCAGTGTCAGCCATGTGGATGAGTCACGGCCATTGCTTGGCCAATGTGCTCTCTGTGAAAGCCTGAGAGAGTGTTTTCTGTCCATGTTTTAAGATTTCTTTTTTTCTTTTTTTTCTTTCTTTCTTTTTTTTTTTGTAGAACTGGGGATTGAACTCAGGCCCTTGTGCTTGCCAGGGAAGCATTCATTCTACTGAGCCATCTCCCCAGCCCCTCTGAAAAGAATTTTTAAAAGCTTGTATTTATAGAAGCAGGATATACCCATGTCTGTGTATGCATGATATACATTCACATATGTATACTGTATGTTTGTTGTTTACCAGTAGCTTTCTCACCTGCCTTTCCCCACCCCTGGTGCCAGGGAGCTAACTGATGCCAAGGAACAAACTTGTGACTTTGTGCTTGTCAGGCAGGTGCTTATGCAGCTAAGCTATGTCCACAGCCCTCACTTGCTTTTAAAAAATGTTAGTGACCTGTTCTTCCATCTTCGTGTATATTTTATCTTTGTTAAGACGTATCTAGATGTCCCCTCCGAGCCTCATGCAGTCATCGGAGGGGCTCTTTGGAGGTAGCTGGGTCTAGGGTGTGTGATGCTGGGATTGATGATGATGCTGGGATAAAGGAAGGCCCACCTTGGGTGTGGGTGGCCCCCCGCAGATGAGGGGTTGCTTGGAAGAGATAAAGGGGAGAGGTGGACAACTGCTGTTGCTGCCCCTACCTTGGTCCCCTGTTTTCCCTGAAACCTCTGTAGACTGTGAACCAAAGTAAACCTTTCCTCCTTTACTTTGGGTTTTGGGTATTTTGTCTGAGCAATGAGAAAAGTAGCTAAGACAGGAGGAAAAAAGGAAAACCAATTTCAAAACAGGATAATAGGAGGGTAACATTGT